ACAAATACCTGGTCACACTTCATGATGTTTATGTGCCTTTTTTTTTTTTTTTTTTTAGCAAAATAAAAATAATTAAAGCAATAGAAACATAATAAAAGAAAAATATGTAGTTCTTATCTGGAGTTGTTGAATTTTCTCTGCAGCAGTGACCAATTCCTTTCTGTGATTCAAGGATAAAGCAAGTCTTGAGGTTAAGAGCTGGAGAGGGGCAAAACCAATGGAATTTACAATTTGACTTAACCCTTGTCATGAAACATGAGAGTAGATTATTCTAAGAAGCATTATAACCAAGTATTTTTCCATATATTTAAAGAATAAAATGAGAAAAATGTACATAAGTTAATATTAAAAAGGCTTTATTGTCTGTAAAAAGTGAATTAAAGATTGAGAAATATCTTCTTTGAAGATGATAAAAAATTTTTTAAAAAAATTACAGCACTTTTTGGATGGCGGAGAGAGAATTGTTTTTGAAGTTGATTTTAGAACATGCTATGAATGTTGTGAAAGTCTCAAGTCTAAGCAGACAGGTGTCGGTGAAACCCTTTAGGAGGAAATGGCCCCTGTGAAGAGTCTTGAAGAAGAGGGAGAAGGAGCTGGGCAAAGTGCGGGAGGGCAGCAGGGTCCCCATGACCCAAGGGGCTGGGAAGTCTTGTGGGAAATGCACTATTAATTGAACATAAAGAACATTTTATGGTGTAGCTGAAGGAGAAGATTGGCAGGGTAAGTTGTAGCTGAAAAGAGTCCTGTTCTGTTGGATGATTGATAAGCCCACAGGGCCTAGAGAATGAGTTTTCTACCAAGTATTATGCTTGAATAATAACTTCTGGTTAGCGAGCTCCCTGAGTGCTACATTATTCCAGTAATAGAGAGTATTCAGACTTGATAAGGCAGTAAGAAAAGAAGGAATAGCCCATTATTTTCAAAGAATAATGGGATAAAAATTATCATCTGGGCATGTCTTTTTCATATCAGTTTTTCATATGGTGTCAATATAAATTCTTCCTTCTCCTTGCAAACTCTTTAGTTATCTATCACTCACTACCACTGTCCGTGGATTCAGATGACATGTTGCAGTAGTTAACTCTGATTTATTATGGGCCAAGGCCACTCATTAGGGCTAGGCAGCCATTGGAGGTTTATGTATTTTTTGTTTTTTGTTTTTTTTTTTACTAGCATAGACATTTTAGAGTGACTGAAAAGCTTTTAAAGGAGAGAGTGAAGGGGGCAGATTTGTATTTCAGATAGATGACTTAGGAGGCAACTCAGGGGTTGTTTTGGGGGGGAGGGGAGTGGTGCTGTTTGGGAAACTGGTACAGGCATCTGATAAGGGAAGAACTAGTCACTACAATGTTAGCAATAAGTAGAGAATGAAGTTATCTGCTAAAAGTGAAGAGATGAGCATGCAGGTGATGGCTTGGAGTGGTTACTGGGAAGAATGGGAGAGGAAGGTGACTGGGAGCCCTCTAACCGCTGCCCTACCTGTACCTGGCCCCTCACTGTCCACAGACGGACTTCCCTGCCCTCCTGAGCAGACAGAGGGCACCATGTGGTCATTACCTCATCCCACGTTCTCTGGACCTCAGAACCCTGCGACTGCCCTCGTCTGCAGTGCTCACTTCCTTCCCAAAGCTGAGTCCTTAGCTGGAAAGCTGTGGTCTCCTGGAGGTGGCCCCTTTCTAAAACCCATCCTCCCTGCTGCTTGACAGTTATAGACTGTCTGGGTAAACCTCTTCTTGAGCTTAGCCCATGTTTTTATTTATTATCCCCCATGTGCACCATATAATAGATACTCCATGAAGGTTGGAACCAAGCTAAATGCCGAGTCCCCTTCTCATCTGTGTCCCAGCCCTGAGCAACTGACATGCTCAAGCATCCGTTATCCTGAAACAAAACTCTGCTCCTGATTCCTAGTCCCCTCCAACTCTCTCAGGTGTCTCTTCACTACCAAATGACCTCTACTGTGCCCAGTCACCTTCACGCCTCATTTCTGCCCACTACCTTCCCTTGCCATCATTCCAATGACAATTGCTCTCACTTTGATCCCCTGTAAACACATTTTCATACAAAAATTTCTTGGTTTGCTCATCCATTCTGCTAGACTTGAAATTCTTTCCCTTCCATGTTTCCTTCCTTTCTTTTTCTCTGCAAGTTAATAGTTTTCATACTTCAATGTTCTTGCTACCCCTTTGTCAGAAAGACAACTCAGTCCATCTTTCTTTATTCTCTGGCTTTTACTCCTATATCACCTAAAAGTGATGTTTATGGAGGGTTAAAATCAAGCTTATGGCTTCTTTGGATTGTTTGCTAAATTAGTCTTTTGTCATAATCTGCATTTTTTCATATTAAAAGCATATTTCCTCATCTCAAGCATTTTTTTTCTGCTTAGAGGTAGTTTAAATTGTTTTTAGAAACTGAAAACATGCTCTATTAAATTTCACTTGACTTAATGCATTGTTAATTATTTTAAACTTAATGAATTTATTATACTTTATTCACTGTTCAAACAATACGTTAGTTCCTTGAAAGTTATTAAAGTTTCTTTTCAAAAAATGAACTAAAGTGTTACATTAAATGAATAGCAGTTATATTATACACTTAAAGGAAAAAAAGAGTGCTGATGTATTTAAAATCTTTTACTGAAGTTACAACTGTCCCATTTGGCTTTAAAAAGCACAATACTGATATATGAATTGTTAGTACTAAGATATTGTTCTCTCAGAAAAAGAAAGCTAAGAATGTTAGTAGGAAATTACACTTTTCTGGTATGGTAA